CTCTGAGCCACAGCCGCCCCGCAAGTCTTTGCGACACGCCGCTGTCAGCAGTTGGTGAGATACATAAAGCTACAGGTGGCTCACTTTGGAAAAGTTCAACTGAAACTTTCAATTTACAGCAACTAAAACCAGTTTATCACAAAGAGCAGTATTCTGCATTTATGCAGGTGAGTCTGATTCATGTTCTTCCTACCTCAGCCACTCAATCCGTCTAGCACAGACGGTAAGATAAAAGAAGTGGTTTCTCAGTTACAGCTCTGCACTTTTATTTACTGATGCTGCTCTCAGGAACACACTTATGGTTTTTCACACGTGACTGTCTGGTGAAATTTCTACCACAAACAGGGCAGCTGAATGACTTCTTACCCGTGTGGACTGTCATGTGTTGTGTCAAATGTCCTTTTTGTGTAAATTTCTTATCGCAGACTGGGCAGCTGAATGGTTTCTCTCCCGTGTGGATCCTCATGTGTTTTAACAACGACTGGCTTAGGCTAAAAGTCGTGTTGCACACAGAGCAGCTGTAAGGTTTTTCTCCTGTGTGAACTCTCATGTGTCTGGCCAGGACTCCTGTCCTGATGAACCGTTTCGGACAGAGCGGGCAGCTGTGTGGCTTCTCTCCTGTGTGGATCCTCATGTGTGAGACAAGACCCGTGCTCTGTGTGAATCTTTTACCGCAGACTGAACAGCTGTAGGGTTTCTCGCCTGTGTGAATCCTGATATGTCTCACAGCATCGCATTTGTAGACAAATTGTCTGTTACAGATGGAACATCTGAAGATTTTATGTCCTTTCCTCCTAAGTGTGACTACATGTGACCTTCCAACACAAAATAAACAAACGGTTGGTTTGTCACCCGAAGGACTTGCGTGGCTCTGCACATGGTTGTCGGGGTCAAATGTTTTACCACATTCAGAGCAGTTAAGAGATTTCTTGTCAGTGTTGTAGTCTTTATCACCTTCTGACTGAGCTATACCTGTCTCCTTCCCGTCATCGTTTTCAGTCTCAGTCTCAGAGGAGTCTGAAGTCCTGTCGTCATCGGCTGGTTGACTGACAGATACACCTGTCTGGGTCTGGTTTGATATCACAGCGTTTAAATCTGACTGATGTTCCCTGCTCTGCTTCAAATCATCACTGCTGCCAGCTTGTTGGGAAGAGTCCGGAGTCTCATCATTATTAGCTTGTGTATCACTTCCTGGATCTAAGCTCCTGGTTGGTTCTGATCCTCCACGGTCCTCTCCTACACACACAGTGTCCATCTGTTGATCTGAGCTGCTGGCTGGAGGCTCTCTGTTCTGTTCCGTTTGAGATAGATAAAGCTGCAAGGTCGGAGCGTTCTCTTCATCGTCGTCACTCTTCACAGGGATGGCTCCTTGAAGCTGCTCTCCCTTCTGGCTGCTCCAGGGTTGCTCCTTCTCCTCTTTAATGTGCAGGGGCTCTGGGTCCTGTTGAAGATCTGCAGATAATACTGAAAAAACAAACATTAATGCAGAAGATGAGCTCAAACATACCTGTACAGCAGTTACTTGTGTTTCTCTGCCACTTTGCTGTCACGTGGTAATTGGTGCCATGCAACATTAAAGCTGCAAAGTGTGTGTATGTGAGAAGGGGGGACACTAGAGCATCAGAATTGGCTGGTTTCCACTATGGTGATGTTGTCAGATTGCAACAAGTTACACTATATTTACTGTTTACATTCTCTAACATTTGCCAAGTGGTTTTAGCTGCTTTAAAGCTGCAGTAGGTAACTTTGTAAAAGTAACTTTTTGTCATATTT